TAAAACAGCAATAAGGATCATTATTAGGTTATCTACATTATTATGTCAATAACAAAATAACTTAAAGCAAAAATTGGGAAACGTAAAGTCCGAAGTCTTTATATTAAGGGCCATCAGTGAAACATATTGTTTGCTCTGGGTGTAAACAGAGCGTGTTGTGTGTGAAGTCTTCTTTTGCGCATGCGGGCCGCTTTGAGTGTTCACACTAGAGCGCGTTTTCTGTCGCATTTTATTTGTAGTGTGAACACGCTGACAAAAAAATCGGATTTGATCAAAAAATCAGAATTGAGCATCAAGACCTGCAGTGTGAACGTAGCCTTAGTTAGAATACCTGGCTTTTTTTCCCCCACAAGGTTTTGTGCACCATTATTTTAAATTCCGAGATACTTGATCTTTTGTCCAGACTTTTTACTAGTTGCTTGTAATATACTCCTATTCAATTACACACTGAAGAACATGAGAAACATGGAAGTTAACTATTAAGAGCAACTGGAGTTCACTTCCTTTCTCAAGGTTTATAAAAGCAGACATACTTTTATAGACCTTGTGAAAGGCTTTTAGAATCATAAGAAGAGTTTCCCCTGCCATAATCACATACAGTAATCATCTATTGAAAGTTGAGACTATAAAGCAGAGTTGTAGTGATTACATCTGAGACAGCGTTTTCGACTTGATCCATTTTGATATTATACAAAAAGCTGTGTGCTTAACTCTATATCTTATACCCTTATCCATCCTTTAAACCAGGCCTTCCCAAAGTGTGGGGCCCGCCCCCTAGGGGGGCGCAGAGCCATTGCAGGGGGGGCGCGGTATGAAAAGGGGGGAAAAAAACAAAACACTTGGACACTGCTAGCACAGGGCACCCACAGAAATGCAAAGTAGGAGATGAAGCATCGCTGAATATGTTTCCAAACCAACTTCATTCTAAGACAAAGACTAGAAAATATGATGAAGCAAATCTGCCCTTTGGCTTCACCTGTACAAGTGCCGAGGTAGGTCTCCCTGCAGGGTTGGTTTTCCCTCCGTCAGGAGCAGCGCTGGGCTCTTCAAATCACGGAATACAACTCTTCACTTGCACTGATGACAGCTATAGCTGAAACGTATTCATGTCGCTTAAAAGTAAACACTCAGTGAGTGCTGGCGTTTTGTTTGTTTAAAGCAGTGGTTCCCAAACTGTTTTTGCTGGGCCCCCCTTTGTTTTACAAGAAAAATGTTCGCCCCCCCCCGTCCGCGCATGGACAAACAGTATCCCACATTCTTGATTTTTAGTTCACAAACACTTCTTATAATGACTAATGCTACAGGTATAGCTCTAAAGAATATAGCATCATAGGCAGTGTAGTCTGTGCTGCAGGGAGAATGGACTGCCATACACGTTATGTGTCTGTGAGCGAGGAGGGAGAAAAAGGAAAAGTACGAGTTGTCATCGAGCAAAAACGGGAGCTGGAACTAGGGCTGGGCCATATCATACCGTTCACAGTAATACCGGTGTAATACTGGGCAACGATAAGAAAATGAAATATGGCGATAGAATATGGGTAAAACGTGCATGCGCAGTGCCTTTGTTTACATACACACAAGGCAGCGACGCAGAAAGAGAAGAGCGAGAGCGGATCGTTGAATGAAACGGATGAACCAGAACTGGTTTGTAAAAATGCTGCAGCTTCAGTGGTCTGGAACTGGTTTCGCTTTCATCCGTCAGATACACAACAAAGCACTATTTTTGGTAGCGCATGCTAGCGGGCCGTCGTTATTACCGTGTTGTATGGAAAATACAGCACACTTAAAATCAATCCTTTGATTTTTCTGAAAGTCGACAGAGCCCCTTATAATCCCGTGCGCCTTATGTATGAACTCTGGTTGTGTTTACTGACCTCGAAACGGTTTTATGTACACGGCGCTCGAAAATCTGTCAAATGTTTTACTACGACTTTGCTAAGCTACAAAGGCGCACCGCTCGATGGATTGTCGGAGCGTTACGGCTATCGTAGGCAGGCGCCTCGCGGAGTGATACGTACTGCACCTCAACATGATATTACCGTATTGTGTGTGTATAACCTCTTTTTAAGTGTTGTGGATATTATACATGGTTATGCTGAGGATATGTCGGCCAGTTTCCACTGGAAACGCCTTTTGGTTAAACTGTCAGCGAGGAGTTTGCACTGTTATATTTTTATATAACTTTAATGCACATAAAAAAAAGCTGCTTGTTTAAGTGAAAATACATTGATGGTTTTTTTTTTGCACTAATAAAGTTGTGGAGTTGTAAAGTATTTTGTCTGGTGTCAATTATATCGTCAGTTATATCGTTATCGCAAATTTTCAAATGTATATTGGGATAAATATTTTTGGTCATATCGCCCTGCTCTAGCTGGAAGCATGTAAATATAATAATAACCACTGCAGCCAAGAAGAGTGCCTGACGAGCCCAGTTGTAAGTAAGCTATTAAGACTCGACTGTACACCGTGTTCGTGTTTTCCTCCGAAACAATAAATTCCGTTGGAGCAGCCTTTCAACGCCTCGCTCTGTCTCTCGCAAGAAAAGTTGACCCAGACAACAAAGTAAAACTATTTTTCGGCTACGAGCAGACAGGGACCCCGCCATATTAGTCAGAGGTCCCTTTACTACGGTTCGGAGTCGCGGACCTTCAGTAACAGTAATAAATCCCAGCAATAGTACATTCACGTAGTTGTAAAAAGCATGATAATATATTAAGTAATCCAAAGTATTCTGAATACGTTACAGATTACATTTTGGGGCATGTAATCTGTAATGGAATACATTTTAAAAGTAACCTTCCCAACACTGGTCATCAGTGCAAGTCAACAGTTGTATTCACTAATTTAAAAGGTTGCAATCACAGAGTGGTGCTTGTGAGTAGTAAAAAAAAAAATTAAAATGATTGAATTACAAGTTTTGCAGCTCTCCATATATTTGTGTAAATATGTAAAAATGATAAACACAAGTGTGTGAAGCTTAATCTTTTTTGCTATACATTTTCACACTTTAGTTTTCAGGTTCTCACATTTTGCTCCGTATTTACTTTCATATTGTTCCTCCTCGAGTGCTGCCACAGCCTGAGATGAACTGGAGGCTTTAGTGCTGGCCAGAAAACCAGGAGCTCCACGTGTATTAACAAGGAATTTAGAAGGTCGCCCATCGTTGTTGTGTATGGTGATATATGATGATACAGCTGTAGTGTAATTAAAAAGGAGAGGTGGGTCACTGCGTAGTGCAGGGGTCCCCAACTCCAGGCCTCGAGGGCCGGTGTCCTGCAGTTATTAGATGTGTCCGTGATCCAACACAGCTGATTTAAATGGCTAAATGACCTCCTCAACATGTCTTGAAGTTCTCCAGAGGTCTGGTAATGAACTAATCATTTGATTCAGGTGTGCTGACCCAGGGTGAGATCTAAAACCTGCAGGACACCAGCCCTCGAGGCCTTGAGTTGGGGAAGCCTGGCGTAGTGTAACAGCTGCCGTTGTAATGCAGTGTATTGCCGCATGGTGGCGCCTCCTATCTCATGACTCCTTGTCACTCCCTTTTTGTTCTTCTTCGCACTCTCTCTGTAATGGATTCTTCCATGTACACAGACTAGTGAGCTCTCAAGTAAGGTGTGGTAGAGGTAGCACATGAATGGCCCTGCCAACCGGAGTTATGCACAAAGTTATGACTTCCAGTTCTTGAAGATAATTTTTTTAGCGATGCGTGAGGCAGTAACAACTATGTTTGATTTATGTGCTTCCATTTATGTGCTTATGTCACCTAACATGAACAGTTTAGGTGTGGCAACTAAACCGTGTGGAAAGGTCTTCACATATCCTCCGACAGGCCCTCGTAGGCGTACAAGACCATACAGCGTGCACATAGTTTTCAGTGGGTGTTTGCAGTGTGTGCATATGTCTGAGTGTGTGAGGCCCATTTGGAACATCCTTTGTCCTGTATATTGTGTTCTATGGAGAGTTCTGCATGTTGTAAGTTGCTGTATTAGGATCAGATGTTTTGATATGGGTTGATGGAAAGATCTTGCTCCCGTTTTGCAGTTTTATGGGAAATGGAATCACCAATTTTACACATTTTATATGTGTTTGATAACCATTTAGGGGTAGAGATATTTTAAATATTTTGTTGCCCATGTAGACATTTGAGTTCAGTTTACTGGGGTAAATCATTTTTGTGGGCTGGACTTCAAATCAGAGATCTTTACTTGTCCACAGAGAGCTTGTTTTAGGTTCAGCCATGGGCCGTCTAACAAGCTTGATTCGATCCATTCTGAGTCATACAGCGATCTGTTGGCTAAAAAGTAGAGATACAAATTTGGTCATTCTAGACCTTTGTGTTTTGGTTTTTGTGAAGTTTTTAAACTAATTTGTTATTGTGGAGGTTTGCTGAGTGAGGCAGAATAAAAATAGTTCAAAGGGTCGACAATCCAGTGTTTTTCTTCAAAACTGTGGTCTAGTGCGTTGTATTTAAAGTGCAGAACAGTTGCAGTCTCTTATCCATGTGCTCTAATGTGTTATCTTTAGACAATTATTTTTTTCAAAATGTACAGAGAGCACATAATTTAACAATACACGACTCAGATTAATAATAATGGAAATAATGATTTGTGATGAAATTCAGTGCAATAGAAAACTAGCTTTCTTTGCAGAATTACACTGAAAATATTTTGGCTCTTATTCTGGTCCCAGGTTATTTTCCTACCGGGAACCAAGGGGAAGTTGTCTAAACAGCTATGGTTACCTTTTCCCAAATACCAGCTCAACATTTTGCAGAAAAACGGGGTGTTTACTCAAGGATTGTATTCCAACTCGATTTATTATCTCTGAATTGTGTCTTTCCAGGTAACAAAGTTGATTAGAAGTAATAGAAGTCCCAATGCTGCAGTAATAACTGTTTCTTTCACTCTAACTTGTAAAAAGAAAAATCCCATGCACCTTTAGAAGAGAGGCTTAGAATGTTGGAAAATAACTCCTCCGTGTTTTTTAAACCAACCCAGATGCCAGGATGAATGCCCAGTTGGCACTTATGGGCCACAGTGTGCTCACAAGTGTGACTGCCAGAACAGAGCCAAATGCTACCACATCAACGGCGCCTGCCTTTGTAACGAAGGCTTCAAGGGGCCTAGCTGTCAGGATCGTTTCTGTCCCACTGGCCTGTATGGACTCATCTGTGACAAATACTGCCCCTGCATACACACAAACACACTCAGGTACTGGATCATTGCTCAGGCTTTCTTACTGTACAACACTTCAGTAGAATAGAATGTTTGAATTACTGTATCTAGTTAAAGTGGAGTTGATATTTTGTTTCACATATTTCTGCTTTTCCCACTAAACCTACTATAAAAGTAACTTTGTGTCGAGGGTGGTCAAAATGGGAGAACTACAAAACAATATACACACTGCAAAATAACCTTCTAATCTTCCTGCTCTTTCAGCTGTCACCCTCTGTCAGGAGAGTGCACCTGTGCTGCGGGATGGACTGGGCTTTACTGTGACGAGACCTGCCCACCAGGTTACTACGGTGAGGGCTGCAGAGAGCTGTGTGTTTGTGCTAATGGAGCCTACTGTGATGGCATCACTGGAGCTTGTATCTGTGCACCAGGATACATAGTAAGTGCAAAAGATTTCTGTGGCTTAACACCAACACTTTCCTTTTCCCCCAGTCCAGTTATTGGAATTTTATTGGTTCTTTTTGTTTTGTCTCACTCTAAACTTGCCAAACATAGATTATGGGATTATGGGAAGATTTAACACTGAGTATTTTTAAAACAAACTATTATCTTCAAACTATCTACAAGCTAGAGGGAGCCCACAGAAAAGGATGAGCCAGCTGCCTTGCTTCTTGCCTAACTGTATTGTGCTGTGGAAACAAATAGACGACTCGTCTCTCAAAGCAAATACTTTGATTCTTCTCTAAGCTGCTCGTTCTACCATTTCACCTGTGTGTTTTTAATTGATTCATTCTAAGTTCATGAGAATGCCTCAATTTGCTGGACAATGTAATTGCACACAAATCAATATATATTTGAGAAGATCATTTATTTTCTATTAAAGAGCCACAATTCATGTGTTTATCATTTTTGGAATACTCTGTGCAGAGATTGCAAGAAAACAGCATTTTTTATTTTGTAAAACGTTTTATTTTGTATTTTCAAACATTTGCTGTTTGTTTTACAATCAAAACTGTATATCATATCATATCATATTATATTATATTACATTACATTATCGGATGATACAACACGTGGACAGCATAGAGTGAAATTCAGTTTTCACCACCACCCATTCTATTCCACAGTCTTAAGAGAAGCATAATGTCTTTGATCAGAGCATGCAGCTATTCACTAAAACTTGCCTAATTAACATCCTCCACATCTGTCAGAACTTTTAAGTTTAAGTGCATTGCATCAGCCATAGGTCTATTCATAAGAAAAAAGCACAGGCTCAGAGGCTTTAACGGCAAGAAATCAAAAGGATTTCCTCAGAAAGAATTGCACATGTAAATGAGGTTCCTAGTATTATTTAACCTGAAGACAGGTTAAAAATAATGAACAACTTCCACCTGGTTGAGGAGAGGGTATTTACAGCCAGTGTGTGCAGAAGATGCACAGAGAAGGCGTAGGACATCCTCTAACAACTGGTGCTGTTGACTCTGCAGGTTTAGACACAGAGCTAATGTGGCTCGCAAAGCAGAAAGGCTAATGCAGGTGCAACTCGTACGATGTTTGACAAAGAGAGCACGAGTGTCAGGATGGTACAAAAGTATGTGGAGTTTCTGCCTATATGTAACAGTGAGAGTACCTTAAAGGTTTGCATGCAGTAATATTTAAAATCTCTTGTTGATTTGTCTGTAACTAGTGCAGATGTATGCGCCGTTTTATTAAGCAGGTCTTGTTCCCATTTTGATGAGTAAGTTTAGGTGAAGTTTAGTTTGCCTTCTAATCTTACATCATATTTAGAAAGCTTTGGTTGCTCTGAATTATCAATGCTAATTGCCAGTTGTACAAAGTAAATTAGCATTTGTCCATGAAGTCAGTCCAGCATTTTGGTCAGTGGTTGGACGTAGCGTTTCATAAATAAAGTTGGCATGGCCGTAAACTTACAAGATGGACCCAAAGCTGTGCCACTGTCTATAAAGCTGTGAGACCTATACTTGCTCCAATGATGTGGTTGTCCAATGTCTTTCCAGTTACACTAAGTGAGTTATAGTAATGCTTAAGATGAAACCCTCATTATCCTTATAAGAGATCTTACCTCGATGTGTCCTGTTTGGATCTTTGGTCTTTCAATGCTGTCTGTTATTGTCAGCTCACAGAGGCAAGAACCAAATCAAACAGTCACATCAAGGCTGATCGTCTGTATCAGCAGTTTCATTGGCGTCTGTTCCATGAGCTGTTTTTCTATAATTTAATACATAAGTGTTGACAGAAGACCTTTGACACACCTTTTATTATATCGATGCTTATACTACAACCATAACTGAAGATGAATGCCAAATTAAGATCTTTACAAAACCCAACCAAAACACAATAAACACACATGAACACAAAACAGATGGTGTCCGTTTGATTTTCACAGAAATTTAAAACTAAAACATCTCCAGTTACTTTACACAAAACTCCACTGATTCCCCAAACAGAGACAAACTCTTCAGTGTTAGACACCATTTCATAATAAACTAATTCTGCTTTTAAACGTGCACCTACTATCCCCTTGAACGTAATTTCAGAATTAACTGATCCTGCCCCTTCATTTTGTTCCTCCTTGTGAGCCATGTACTCATCTTAGCTTGACCTATTGAAAAATTAATTAAGCAAACCTTTCAACGCTGCACCACAGAGTACTTTGGACCCAGGATAAAGAGACTCTCCTCTAAAACAATCCTAAGCCCAGGAAGCCACTGTCACAGCAAAGAAAAGAGGCCAGCAGGCCTGGGACAGCCAAGCCACAGGCGCTGCAGTGTTTCCTTGGTCCGACAGAAAAGACTGTGGCTCCCCGTTCTTGGATCTTTACAGTGAGTGCAGAATTATTAGGCAAATGAGTATTTTGTCCACATCATCCTCTTCATGCATGTTGTCTTACTCCAAGCTGTATAGGCTCGAAAGCCTACTACCAATTAAGCATATTAGGTGATGTGCATCTCTGTAATGAGAAGGGGTGTGGTCTAATGACATCAACACCCTATATCAGGTGTGCATAATTATTAGGCAACGTCCTTTCCTTTGGCAAAATGGGTCAAAAGAAGGACTTGACAGGCTCAGAAAAGTCAAAAATAGTGAGATATCTTGCAGAGGGATGCAGCAGTCTCAAAATTGCAAAGCTTCTGAAGCGTGATCATCGAACAATCAAGCGTTTCATTCAAAATAGTCAACAGGGTCGCAAGAAGCGTGTGGAAAAACCAAGGCGCAAAATAACTGCCCATGAACTGAGAAAAGTCAAGCGTGCAGCTGCCAAGATGCCACTTGCCACCAGTTTGGCCATATTTCAGAGCTGCAACATCACTGGAGTGCCCAAAAGCACAAGGTGTGCAATACTCAGAGACATGGCCAAGGTAAGAAAGGCTGAAAGACGACCACCACTGAACAAGACACACAAGCTGAAACGTCAAGACTGGGCCAAGAAATATCTCAAGACTGGTTTTTCTAAGGTTTTATGGACTGATGAAATGAGAGTGAGTCTTGATGGGCCAGATGGATGGGCCCGTGGCTGGATTGGTAAAGGGCAGAGAGCTCCAGTCCCACTCAGACGCCAGCAAGGTGGAGGTGGAGTACTGGTTTGGGCTGGTATCATCAAAGATGAGCTTGTGGGGCCTTTTCGGGTTGAGGATGGAGTCAAGCTCAACTCCCAGTCCTACTGCAAGTTTCTGGCAGACACCTTCTTCAAGCAGTGGTACAGGAAGAAGTCTGCATCCTTCAAGAAAAACATGATTTTCATGCAGGACAATGCTCCATCACACGCGTCCAAGTACTCCACAGCGTGGCTGGCAAGAAAGGGTATAAAAGAAGAAAAACTAATGACATGGCCTCCTTGTTCACCTGATCTGAACCCCATTGAGAACCTGTGGTCCATCATCAAATGTGAGCTTTACAAGGAGGGAAAACAGTACACCTCTCTGAACAGTGTCTGGGAGGCTGTGGTTGCTGCTGCACGCAATGTTGATGGTGAACAGATCAAAACACTGACAGAATCCATGGATGGCAGGCTTTTGAGTGTCCTTGCAAAGAAAGGTGGCTATATTGGTCGCTGATTTGTTTTTCTTTTGTTTTTGAATGTCAGAAATGTAGATTTGTGAATGTGGAGATGTTATATTGGTTTCACTGGTAAAAATAAATCATTGAAATGGGTATATATTAGTTTTTTGTTAAGTTGCCTAATAATTCTGCACAGTAATAGTCACCTGCACACACAGATATCCCCCTAAAATAGCTAAAACTAAAAACAAACTAAAAACTACTTCCAAAAACATTCAGCTTTGATATTAATGAGTTTTTTGGGTTCATTGAGAACATGGTTGTTGTTCAATAATAAAATTATTCCTCAAAGATACAACTTGCCTAATAATTCTGCACTCCCTGTATGTTCCACGTGTTTATTCATAGCCATGACCCCATGCACCACTCTCCACTGGAGAGCCACACTGCGTTTCTCTATGGGAAGCTTGTACAGGGACGTCCAACTGTCAGATGAAATTGGTTTGTTACCTGCAGAGTGAGTGCCCAGTGCAGCCCTTAAGAGTCCAGGAAGACCAGCCATGACCTCTTCCACCAGCTTCTCCTGAAGGCACAAAGATCTCACTCCAGTCTCCTAAGCCAGCTTGGCAGTTGTTTTCCACTGGCCTGCTGTCCTCAGCCCCGCCAGCTTTGTTAGGCCAGCATTTATGAGGAACCTCTGAACACTAACAGTGCTGAGCATCATACTTGGTATCAAGGGATTGTAAAGTAGAGCCTCCTCTACATTACCATCTTTACAATAAAAACAGTCCAGTTCCAAGCATGCAAAACAAACTGGTAAAAACAGGAGGTCAGCATGAAGTCTATTCCAGTTACGTTTATGAGAAACAGGTGCTTTACTCTGTGAAGCAGCATAGATGCCGCTTTGAACCAGGGCGGTTGTTGCTTATCATAAAGATACCGTTGTGCTGTCTGAAAGCGTAATGCTGTGAGGCAACTAAGAAGAGTCAATCAAACTCTGACCCCCTCTGACACACAGACTCCTTTTTTCTCTGATAATTTTTAATAACATTTAAATTTACAATAAACTCCACCGATCTCACCTGGACCCACAGCACCAACGCTCTGGTAAATAAGGCCCAGCAGCGGCTGCACTACCACTACAATAACTTGGACTGGAAGTTCTCCTGGTCTTCCTGGTCATGTGGAAAGCATGCTCTCCTGCTGCCTGGATATTTGGTACGCAGGGGCCACTACTAAAAATGGGAAGGCTGCGCAGAAGGTAAAAATCATTGGCTGTCATTTGCCACCCCTGGAGCCCATTGCCAGATAACCATCGCCACCATCACAGGTGACCCTTCGCTCCCCGCCCAAAACCTGTTTGACCCACCGCCCTCTGGTCTGCGCCTCAGGTCAGTCAGGTCTCCCAACTCCAGACTC